ATACGAACAAATAAAGACACAAATGTCACTTTTAATGCAATTTGAGGCGAGATGTTGATGGTTCCCTGTTGTGAAATGTGGGTTTTAAGAGTCAAAGTTACATGTAAAGTTTGGTTTATGTAACTGCTCCTGTGAAATCACACCACTAGCGTGTGATAGCAGTGCTCTTGTCGTGCCGCAAAACCCCTTTTATTGACGTAGGCCTATGATGTGTCTGGTGGCTAACTCAACTGCTAATAGATCTATGCTTACAACTTGGATTTTATTTATTACTTCCATTATCAACCCGGCAGATCAGTTGCATGCTAAAATGCAAAAAAAAACTCACCTCAATAGGAGCAAGATGGCGCCTGTGACTGGCGATGCCACGGCTCGTCTCCTACTGTGTAGATTGCTAATGGTCATTTTGTCAACCTATGCGATCATATCAGCCCAAATAACAAAAGGATGTGTGGCTATACGGACTTTTGATCGGGACTCTTTGTTTCGTATAAAGCAGTCAATGGAGGGCCTGTTTGATACATGGGACAGCTACAAACAGGCGTTTCCTCCTCCTTTCATCATCGATCCCGGCTCACCTGATTACTTGTTGTGTTGGGCGCCGCGCAGGGTCCGCAGGAGATCCAAGAAAAGAGGCTCTCGGTCCGGTGTCCAGGTTAAGCGAAGGCGTGCCGCATCGCGTTTTGGCTCCGCTGTCTTCGGCTGCAGGGATCGTGCTCGGTGCCTGCGCCAGATTCCTCTCCTCGATGCGTGTGACAGGGTGTCCACGCCGACGCCTGCTCGGACTACAACGAGTGTCCTGGACCCATCACAGCGCTGGAGTTGTGGTCATGAGCTTTCATCGCCATCGCTTACTTCCGTGTTTGTGCCTGCTCTTCCAGCATGGACCAGCTGGAGTCCACGTGACCGCTGGACGTGCCTTCGACCAATCCCGCTGCTCAACACAGACACTGCCTTCGTGACGTCATCTACAATCTGCGTTGGCCTGTTGAATGCTCGTTCAATTGCGAATAAATCTCATTCATTGAACGATCTTTTCGTCAGAGAAAGCTTGGATATCATGTGTCTTTCGGAGACTTGGCAGAGAGAGGAAGAGTTCATTCATTTAAATGATCTCTGCCCAGCTGGCTGCTCTGCTGTCGGGAAACCCCGCCCCTGTCGCCGTGGTGGTGGCCTGGCATTTGTGCACAGGGATGTCCACAAATGCAAAGTGACCCAGTCCCAAGAATTCACATCTTTTGAATCCCAGCTGGTCAAGGTGGGCTTTTCATCCCCATTTTACTGTGTGTTGATCTACCGTCCTCCTGGCCCCGCTGCTGCCTTTTTAAAGGATTTTAGTGACTTTTTATCCTCTATAATAAAGTTGGAATCTGTTTTACTCCTTGGGGATTTTAACCTTCATGTTGACGACTGCTCATCTTGCCCCGCAATGGAACTGCTTACATTGACTGAAACTTTTAATTTTGAGCAGCATGTTTCTGAGCCCACTCACCAAAAAGGCCATACTCTTGACCTAGTTTTTACGCTTGGCATAGACATTTTAAACTTGTCTGTGATTGATGTCCATATGAGTGATCATAGTCTTGTTATGTTTGATCTGTACTTTAGTCCTGAGCCCAAGCCTTCAGCAGTCAGGTCTCAGAGGCGTGTCATCTCTGCTAATACCGCAGATAGTTTTTCAGAAATGTTTGACCCTCTTTTAGTCATGGACTGTTTCGATGTGGACAATCTCATTCACTGTTTTAATAACCACTGTGAAACAATTTTGGATCAGTTGGCTCCTGTTAAATCAAACTTGTCACAGAAAAAAGCGTGTCCTTGGACAAATGATGATATCTTAAGACTCAGGAGGCTGTGTCGAAAGACTGAACGCCTGTGGAAATCCACTAAACTTGAGGTGCACAGGCTCTATCTCAGGGATCTTGTGTCATCATACAACGTGATGATTGAAAATTCCAGATCTGAATATATCCGTCAACTGGTAACATTGAATAAGAAAAATCCCAAAGTGTTGTTTGACTCAATTAACTATCTTGTGTGTCCTGCTGCTCCAGTTACCCCTGTCTTTTGTGAAGCTGACAGCAATGCCTTTTCGAGATTTTTCACAAACAAAATTAAGATGATCAAGGATAAAATCTCGCCCCTTCTGTGTGGCACCCCTGCTGTGTTTGAGCCTGTGTCCAGCATGTGGTCTTCATTTAAAACGGTGACATTTGCTGATATTTCAGCACTGGTGTCCAAGATGAAGCCCTCCTCTTGTTCATCTGACATCCTTCCTTGCAGGCTCTTTCAAAAAGTGTTCGAGGTAATTGGCCCTTGTGTTACCAAAATGGTTAATGTCTCTTTGTCAACTGGCGTGTTTCCCAGTGCCTTTAAACATGCCATAGTGGAGCCACTACTAAAAAGAGCAGGGTTAGACCCGACTGATCTTAATAGTTTTAGGCCTATTTCAAAACTCCCGTTCCTGTCCAAGATCCTTGAGAAGGTGGTCTGTGAACAGCTTACGTTCTTCCTGGATCAAAATAACATCCATGAGCCGTTTCAGTCTGGTTTCCGTAAACAACACTCTACGGAAACGGCCTTGCTGAAAGTGTCCAGCGACATTATGATGTCTGCTGATTCTGGGAAGCGCACTGTTCTAGTTCTCTTGGATCTGTCCTCAGCATTCGACACCGTTGACCATCAGGTTCTGCTGAAAAGACTGAGGGATCAAGTAGGACTGTCGGGGGCAGTTCTACAGTGGTTCTCCTCATATTTATCGGGGCGTAGCTTCAGTGTTACAGCTAACCAAATTAGGTCTGAGTCTGTGGGTTTGTTGTGCGGAGTGCCTCAAGGGTCCGTTTTGGGTCCTGTCTTATTTTTGTTGTATTTGATTCCTTTGGGAAAGATCATCCAAAGGTTCAGTGATGTTTCTTTCCACCTATTTGCTGACGATATCCAGCTTTACTGTTCCTTTAAGCCGTCTGAAATCCAGAAGCTAGACTCTCTGCTCCATTGTCTAATGGAAATAAAACAATGGCTCAGCGATAACTCTCTGCAGCTAAATGCAGACAAAACCGAAACACTGGTTATCGCACCCGATGATGCAATTCCGGGGATTAAACAGTACCTGGGTGACTTAGGCCAGTCAGCGAAGCCAAGTCTTCGAAACTTGGGCGTCATCTTTGACAAAGACATGTCATTAGTCCAGCACTGTAAGCAGCTAACAAGGAACTGCTTCTTTCAACTAAGGAACATTTCTAAACTTAGGAATATGGTTGCACGTAATGATTTGGAGCTTATGATTCATGCATTTGTGTCTTCACGCTTAGACTATTGTAATAGTTTGTTTTCATGTCTAAATAAGAAGGAGCTCTCTCGACTGCAACTAGTGCAAAACTCTGCAGCGAGAATTCTGACCCGCACTAACAGGAGGACCCACATATCTCCTATTTTAAAACAACTTCATTGGTTGCCAGTGTCCTATAGGATCACGTTTAAAATTTTGGTTCTAGTTTTCAGAGCCTTGCGTGGTCAAGCTCCTTCTTACCTCAGTTTTCTGATCCAGCCTCACACCCCTGCTCGGGCTCTGAGGTCTATGGATCAAAATCTGCTAAAGGTTCCACGCACTTGTTTTCGTACAAGAGGTGACCGATCCTTCCAGGCTGTTGCTCCCAGGCTTTGGAACGATCTTCCGCCCTCTTTGCGCTCTACTGACTCTGTTGATACTTTTAAAAGCAATCTTAAGTCTCATTTATTTGTTCAAGCCTTTAATTAGCTATTTTTGGGCTGATACGATTTCTGTGTTGTTTTGACCCTTTTTATATTGTATTTAATTTTGTGATGTTTTAACTGTGTTGTGAAGCACTTTGTGGCCTTTGCCTGTGAAAGGTGCTATACAAATAAAGATTACTTACTTACTTACTTACTAAAAGCTGTCGAGTTAGCCACAGGACGTGTCATCTGCCTATGTCAGTAACATGACGCATGCGGCAGTTCAACTCGACAGGAAAGGTACTGCTATCAAAACAGTAGCAGTTTGGTTCGACAGGAGCAGTTGACTACTTAAAGTATCGAGTAAAGTTTGGTTTATTCCACAAATTACAACAATGAACCATCAACATCTCGCCTCAAATTACATTAAAAGTGACATGTGTGTCTAATATATTGACATATGGAGGAAAAGACAAGACAGACTAAAACAAACCACGCAGAGCTAAACATAACAATAAAAATGAAACATAGGAATATAGGCAAGAAAGAGAAACATTTATAAAATGTGTCTATACAGTATATATGTATATACATGTATATTGTTAATTCTGAGTTTAGAACCCCAAAGCAGAACTGGCCAAAGTGGTTTAAAAAGTACCAACAAAATTCAAAAACCAAAAAAAGCCTATATTATACATATATTTGAGGAAAATTGTGTTTTCTTATGCAAGAAAATGGTATGATGAAATCTATTTTCTGTTCTAAATTTGCGTATTGCATCAGAAGATTATAATAACATGAAAAATTCACTCCAGATTGTAGCATTTATTTTAAAAACCTATTTTTTCCTATGTGTTTTTAAACAAAACTGTGAAAAACCCATTGCAGCAACCTTGTTTTTTTTTTTATTAAACCGTCACACCTGTGACTGTGAAAGTGCATCCCCGTAAAAGGCACATCATCACTCGCACTGGTTTCACACAGCAGCTCTTTTCTCTGCTTCCCTCTCGGTGCTTGCTTTGGACAGTTGACTTTGGCTCGGAGCTTGCCCAGGCCTCCCCTCTCTTCAGAACTAAGTGCCTGCAGTATTCACCATCATCCACAGCCTTAAACCCGACTTTGTCATTCTTCAGCTCCAGCATTCTCGCTTTACTTCACTTAAATGACTCCTGTGCCTTTACAAAAGCGTTTGTTTCCTCCTTGAAATCATAACCTGCCAGAGTTGCCCACAGATGTGAACTTTTCCATGACTTTGCAAGATCTGATAATACTCCTCTGACATGAGAATGAGATTCCTTTCTCCGTAGCTGTTGCTCTATCCTCCCAAACACATCATCCACCGGCAGAAAACTGTGCCCCCGATAGGAAGCACTGCACCGATCCTGGGAAATTCCACTTTCACCAAGGCGAACAGCATGCTTAGAAGGTTCATTGACATTAGAAATGTAAGTTTTATTATCAAGTTTAAAGAATAAAACATAAAAGCATACTCTTTAAAGTGAATGCAAAGGTGAATGCATGTCATGAGGTCACTGGGTTACGTTGCCATGGTTATTTGCTAGTCTGTAAGTGCAATATTGTGAAGGAAAGGGAACATTGCAAACTGCGATTTTCTGTTGTCAGTGAATCTACCCTGGCCTTATCCATCCGCACACTCGGCTTAATCATAATTTCACTGCATGTAACGTCTGGGTCTGGTCCCCATGTTAGCGATTACAATCGGTTTAATTTCGACCAACCATTCAGAGAGCGCGGGAGGCAGGTGTTGTTGATAGTTGTGGATGATGTCAAGAGTTCGCGCTGAACGGGAAGGTCGTAGTTTGGCAATGGCGAAAAATCCGATAATAAAGTAATCCGATCTGGTTCTATCAAGAAATTGAAGCCGGAGCAAGGGTAATGTTTAGCAAATGTAATCGCTGGAAAAAATTGTGGCGCTACGGAGATGGCTAAGCTAAATGCTAACGACTCACTCAGGCGCGCTACATACGTCACGGTAAACTCAGATCCAATCGTTTCAATCTGCAAAAGGAGTTAACCCCTCCCACCTGTAAACGGAGCTCAATGGAACACCTCCAGGCCTTAGTATGAAATGTCATTTGTACTGTGGTGTGTTACAACCAGGCTATGAATGGTCAGGCTGGAAATCTTTTTAGGCTAATATGTTTGAACTGCATCAACAAACGAATGGTTTAGACCATATGGAATCTCCGATGTGGACATAGCGTGGATGTGTTTTGTTCTGCCAATAAAAAGTCTGTCACAATGGGACAGAGCAGCAGTAGTCTCACAACAGCGGGGCCAGAAGCTTTGCCCTGCTGATGCGAAACTTGCTCATTGTGTCACAAGTAAAAACCTAACCTCTGTCTGATTTGTTTTTGTCCAGGTCAACTGTAGCTTGAACTAGCTTTAACATTCATGTTTTTGTCCTGACCAAATCAACGGCAATGGTGAACTCTTCTTAACTCTTCGCTACAACAATGGTCCAAGGCAGAAGCGGTCATGTTACTCGCTTTCCTATTCTCAGGCTCCATCCATGTGTGGAGATGTTCATCCTCTATGGTTTGGCTACTGCCCTTTTCACGGTGGACAACAACTCCAAAGACATACAGAGCTGTCGAGAATAGTCTGCCTGACCGATGGGGGTTCTAGGGAGCACTAAATTCTGCATCATATCGAAGCACAGTCACCGCATCCTGATCTACCTTACCCAGCAGATCGTGAAACAAACGCGCTCTTCTTTGAAATGTAAGTTGCTGACTCCCTATGTTTTTCATCTTCAGATAAGCGGGGGTCCTTATCTCTGAGTTGAAATTAAGCACACCGTGAACAGGCATCGGTAGCTTGATGGCCAAATCCTTGAAGTGATGTCAGGAAACAGTGGAGTAGTTCACAAGGTCATGATTCTGCGGGCCGATTAGTTTGTGCATTTTTTTCACGCTGAGATCACTGGGTATAGGTACTCACAGCCAGGTGCAGATTTTACAAATACAGATTTACATGTTTACATAGTATCTACAAATGTGCGCCTATGTGTTTGCATCCACACAAACATCCACAGCCACACCAACATATACGTTCCAAGTGGTAGAGTCATTAAAAATCCACCTTCAGTTCATACTGTATATCCCATCAGGGTCTCACTCAGAACTTATCATCCAAAAGCACCATCCGATGAGTCCGAGAAGGGATTCCAGATTTGTGTGAACTCCCCGTAACCCTAGACCAGTGTTTTTCCACATGTATGAAGTCTACCAGCTTGTTCAGCCAGTTTCTGAAGGATGGTGTATTTGTTCTCATCCATTCTGTGAGGATGAGTCTTTTTGCTACATATATTCCAAGAAGGAGAGCACACGATGTTTGGGGAGCTTGTTTGCCTCTGAAGACTGTCCAAAAATGGCTATCAATCAATCAATCAAATTTTATTTATGAAGCGCTTTTCATACAAAAGATGCAACACAAAGTGCTTTACAGTTTGGTTAAAAACAATCCCGCCGGCCCATGTCCCCTCCCCCCGACCACCCAACAGACCCATCCCAAACCACAGACAAACACACACACGCTCCCATGCACACTCTCTGACACACACACACACACACACACACACACACACACACACACACACACACACACACACACACACACACACACACACACACACACACACACACACACACACACACACACACACACACACACACACACACACACACACACAAGTAAAACAGTAAAACAATGATGAGAGACTTGGCAGGGTTCGGATGCAACCAGTTGAAAAAGCGTCATCCTAGGAGCCGTCTGCACCAGGAGCAGAGAGCCGCCTGTAGCCACAGGGGACGACACAGGATCTAGAGGAGACCCGAAACCGAGGCCCCAGGCCCCCACCAGGTCCAAGAGTCCGACCCCCACAGCCACACCGACCACTGCTCCCGGTGCAGAGGGCTCCTCCAGAGGAAACACTGGGTACACTAAAAACAATACAATAACAATACAATATGTAAAACACAAAAATGTGAAACTAAAATGAAACTAAAATGAACTAACACACAATACATGAATAAAAGCAATAGCAATACAATAAATAATAGAGGATAAATAGAATATATAAAATGAAATAGTAAAAACTAATCAAAAGCTAATCTAAAAAGGTGCGTCTTGAGCCTGCTTTTAAAAATATGAACGTTCTCTGCGGCCCTGAGCTCCTCCGGCAGACTGTTCCAGAGACGGGGGCCGTAGTGCTGGAAAGATGCCTCACCGTGAGTGTGTGTCCTGACTTTGGGGATGGTTAGAAGTCTGCTGCCGGAGGAGCGCAGGGGCCGGGAAGGTTCATAGGATAAAAGCAAATCTGAAAGATAAGAAGGCCCAAGACCATTAAGACATTTAAAAACCATTAAAAGAACCTTAAAATCGATCCTGAAACACACGGGGAGCCAATGCAGCGATTTTAAAACCGGTGTAATGTGGTCCCGCCCCCTGGTCTTAGTCAGGACACGTGCGGCCGAGTTTTGGAGTAATTGTAAACCTGAAATGTTCTAATGGCTATGTCTCTGTCCACTGTTTGATTCGTACAATAGATTCCAGAAAGATAAAGAAAAACTGTAACAGAATTGTTGCATTATAGGACACTCCCAAATTATTAGAATAACATTTGTTGGGCTTATACATTTTTGGCTTGACTTTCCTTTGAATGCAATGGTCATTTCATCCAACTGGGTAGATGGAGCATACACTGCTGCAAACCGGGAGATGATCAAATGGATGATTGGGAGTATTTAGAATAACCTGCTCCTCATTGTTGGCAAAATGAAGAAAAGACAAAATCATCTCATCTATTCCTGGACATCACCGTGCCCAATCTGTTGGCAGATTTGAGAGGCTGTTGGCCAATATTTAGCCCAATAATCTTCCAACTCAGATTTTTCTACAAGACCCATTCAGAGAGCGAAGGAGGCAGGTGTTGTTGTAAGTTGTGGGTGATGTCAAGAGTTTGCGTCTAACAGGCAGGTTGTAGTTTGGCAATGGCGAAAAATGCGATAGTAAAGTAATCCTGGTTCTATCAAGAAATTGAAGCCGGAGCAAGAGTAATGTGTTGCAAATGCTAGAAAAAAATGTGGCGCTACTCCCCACGGGCTCCGTTAGCGACAAAGAAGATGGCTAGGCTAAATGCTAACAACAGACTCGGGCGCATTACATACGTGACGGTAAACTCAGATCCAATCGTTCCATCTGCAAAAGGAGTTAACCCCTCCCACCTGTAAACTGAGTCCAAACCTTAGTATGAAATGTACTTTGTACTATGGTGTGGTACGACCAGGCTACTACTCATGACAGTTACGTAACGCCATTGCAGAAATCTGGAGTGTGGCTTGAATTGATTGGAGACTAAAAACTGATGGGGCATAGCGATAGTCACAATTGCAAGCACATTCTAAAAACCACAGAGAAAGAGTAACAGATAATCTCGGGGCAAATTGGCATTGGATAGTTCTCTTTCCCCTAGATATCTAATTGGCTTTGATACTCCTCGTTAGTCAAGGCTTGCATTCCTAGCATTTTGACTACATAAGATATGCTTATTTTTCCCCTGTACCCTGTGCTCCACTGTCTGGAGAGAATCGGCACAGCTCTGCTTATTCTCATTCTCACAACGACTGTCCCTGCTGCTACTTTGCCCCCTTGCTCTCCTGAGGACACCGCAATCTCGTCTAACAAACCCAGCATTAGACAAAGGCTCCTCCATCACGTTATTATGAGGAGGCACATGGCCAGAAAACAGAGGAGCAACACGGCTAGCGCGGTAAAAACTCAATGCTACATCCGGCCTTGTTCTCTTATCGATGGGAGGAGGCGGGGCTGATGACGAGCAGAAGTGTGAGAGGGCGGGGCAGATGTGAACGCCACCAACATTATTTTTGTCGTGTTTGTTTTTCTATGTTAATAATTATATTCTATGCCTACATGTCATATTCTGTTTATTATAATGTAAATGAACCCTCCAGATTGACAAGATGCGGTACTGTTTGAAAGAGCAGAACCAAACAGGGTCTGGGCAGGCTGCTCACAGTCGGGGCAGTAATGATTTGATGATGACTTTTTACTATTTCCCTGTGAGTTCTGTTTGTGTGTTCATGTTCTAGTGATTTGCACGTCTGACAGTTAAAAACAAATTCAATCATTTCACAAAAATATTAAAATCCATGATTGCCACCGCCGTATGATGTCCTAATGCAAAGAGGACCGTGGGCTGTGAGCTTCCTGTTCTGGAGGTTCTTTATAAATCCAGACTTCTTAATAGAGCTCTAAGAATTATCAATGACTCTTCTGGCCACCCTGGAAAAGCCTTGTTCCAGCTTCTTCCCTCTGGCAGAAGATATCGCTCTCTGAGATGCAGGACATCTCGTTACGCTAACAGTTTTTATCCACAGGCTGTTATCAGTGTGAACAGAGCACTTTAATGATTTTCACTTGTTTTGAAACTGTTTTAGTCGATCGATTTCACAGTGACATTTGTTTACTGTTTTATTTCTGTTTTTTAATGTTGTTTTATGTCTGTATTTGTCTGTGCACACTGGAAACTTTTGCGATACAATGCTCACGATAACAATATCTCACAATATGACAATGCAGCGATTATCAATATATTGGTCAAAAATATACAGTACCTACGATAATATTTTTTGTATATTTATGGCATAAATTGAGTGAAAAAATACACTTTATTTGAAGAAAAATAGATAAAGTGTCACGTGTAACATTAAAGTGAACAAGCAAAAATGCCTTTTCACCTGCACATTTTAGTAAAAATCTTACTTAATCTCTATATCCGTCTAACATCCAATAAAATTACTATGAAAATTCTACAGAAATTGTAGAAAGCGTAATGTAGCCATATATTAAGTATCAATACTTTTTTTTTTATATAAATTGATACTTAGCAAAAGCATATCGATAATCGATTGCGTGGGAAAGTATCACGATACATCACCATATCGATATATCGTCACACTCCTAAATTAGATGGCTCAATTCAATCCCTACACAAACCTGGGGACATCCTTAATGTTTCTCTAATTTACAAAAAGCCTCTATCTCTTTTCATATTTTTGTTATAGCCTTTTGAAATTCAGATGAAAAATCAAGCGTTTTGGGAAAAAACCTCTGGCGCTTAAAGGGTTAAGAATAATAATTTAATGGAATATAGAATGCTCGATGTTGAAAGAGACATTGATCTTGACTACAGATGATGAGTTTAATTTAGATTTATGAATTATGGAAGCTGTAGCCGTTGAAGCGGGGATGTGGACACCGACACTAGAACAGTCACAAAGCTCCTAAAAGGCGGAGACTTTAAAACACATCTTGTAAACCCGTCACACGATCTCTCTCGTTTGAAGACTGTCGTTTAAATTAATCACATAAAATATTAAAACTTAATGTTCAATAATTGGAAAAGTCTCCATTACTCCTGAATGTGTCCTCCCCTCCGTCAGCATGCAGTCCCTGAAGAAACATTTGATCCATTCTCCACCGTTTCCTCCTCTGTCCAAAAAGTGAAAAAGTCCAGAGCAGCTCTTCTCTTGTCTCGAGGATTTTTCTAAATAGCTTTTAAAATAATTGAATGACTAGA